ACCGTTCCCAGATAACAAGGCACGAATCTGCCCCCGGGGGGGCTACCACCAGAACAGCCACCGTGCCAGCCTCTTAACTGGGAACCCAGTCGAGTGATTTTTGTCTTCCAGAAAATCTGCAAATTCCTCAGTATGTCTCTTAGGGCGGACCTCAGTCTCTTCCCTCCCCAGGAGGAGACGGTTCGCCTTAAAGAGGGTCGCTGGTTGATTATCTGCAGACATAATTACTATGTATTTTTAAAAGCAAAGCGAAAAGCTAAAAATTCTCAGTGTGAGTTAGAAAAGGATACAAAAGCTAATACACTTTTGCTTTCTTATTGCAAAACCATAAAATGTCACTCCCCCTATTTAAAACAACCATTTTATCCAAGTCCTTATTAAAGATATTGAAGAATTTTTGGGACTGATACTTGTGGCACCCTACGTGGTATCTTTCCCCAGTTTGTTGGGAAGCCATAAGTGGGCACTCTGGCTACGATTGAGAAACAGCTACGCTATATAGAGTGCATTCAGAAAATATTCAGGCCCCCCTTCATTTTGTCAACTTTGTTATGCTACAGCCTGATTCTACAGTTGTTGAAATTAATTTTGTTATCATTAATGTACACTCAGTTCCTCATAAGGTGTTGAATACCAAGCGGAAGTTTAAAAAAGGACCCTTACATACAGTGCATTCAGAAATTATTCACTTTTATCAATTTTGTTATGCTGCATCCTGATTGTTGTTGTGTTGTTGTATATTAATCTGAATCATAAAAACAAAGCAAAAACAGAATTTTAGAAATGTCTGTAAATTTATTAAAAAGGAAAAACTAAAATATCACATTGGCATAAATAATCAGACCCTTCGCAGCAACATGAGAACTCTGGGGCCTCTAATTTCTCTTGATGGTTGCTGACATGTTTCTAATTGGAGTCGACCTGTGGGGTAAATCAATTGATTACATACGATTTGGAAAGGCACACCTATAGAAGACGTCACAGCTGACAATGCATACATGGCCTTGACAAGGTCGAAGGAGCTGCCTGCAGAACTCAAAGGCTGGATTATGGCAAGAGACAGATCTGAGAAAGGCTACAATAAAATTTCTGCTACACTGAAGGTTCCCATAGTGGCCTCCGTAATTCTCAAATGGAAGATCTTTGGCACAACCAGGACTTTTCTAAGAGCCGATCGCTTGGTCAAACCGAGCAATCGGGGAGAAGGACGTTAGTAAGAGAGGTGACCAAGAGCCTGACGGTCACTCTGGCTGAAAATCCCCCAATCCGAGTGTGCAAAACCTGTCAGGTCACACGCAAAAAAGACTTTGGGCTGTAATTGCTGCCAAAGGTGCTTCAACAAAGCACTGAGTGAAGCGTCTGAATTACTTAATGCCAATGTGATATTTCAATACTTTCTTCTGAATAAATTTGCAGGTATTTCTAAAATTCTCTTTGTTGTTATGGGGTACTGAGTGTATTGGGAGGGGGGGGGAAAGAATTTCAACAACTGTGGAATTGACAACAGTGAAGAGGGTCTGAATACTTTCTGAATGCACTTTATGCACTCAATTGTCACATCCTCCAGACATTACCTTATCTGGTTATTTATCAGCACATCACCTAATTGTATTTGTTGAAGTGCAAATTAACCACTATGCCTTTTTCACAAACTGTTAAGGAAGCTATGCAAGCAAAAATAAGGTAATATTAGTCTGAAAAGATTTCTGCATAACCAATCCACAATAAACTCTATTTTATTACTTTACAGTTTTCAAAGTTTTAATTAAATAAACTCTCTGTCAAAATCCCTCTACAGTCTAGAGAATCAGAATCAGAGTAACTTGTTTCTGCTTTGAAATGTGCATTTCACAAAGAGATTGGTTTAGATGGAAACTTTTGTTCAGATCTATTATATTAGTCAGTCACAACTATCTCGGCTATCATTTTACATCTCCTCCCTTCCTTTGGATGCACATTCCAAGTTGAAGGAAACTCTTTCCTTGAGTTAACGGTTTCTGATTTCGGCAGTAAAAAAAGGGTGCTGACCCTGAGAAGAGGGAGTATTGGGCCCTTTTTCTTGCTTCCTTGAGTTACTTATAAAGGCAGGTTATCTGTGGGACCATCTCTCCCGAAGGACATCTGCTCTTTCTATCAGATCAAATAAGGGTGGGCGTGCTCCTGAGCCCAGGTGGCGCAGTGGGTAGGGTGCAATACTGCAGACCACTTCAGCTGACTGCTATCTGCAGTTCAGCGGTTCTAATCTCACCGGCTCAAGGTTGACTCAGGGACAAGGACGAGGCAGTCCTGGG